TTTATCATAAAACTTAACGAAATTAAATATATGAGAATGATACTGCAACTAGATCTCTCAAAATTAAAGCCATCTATATATTCTTACCGTAAACTACTTCCTCCGGTCCACAATAAGTGACCAATTTACTTTTTTTTTTATTTTGGTTCAAAATAAGTGTCTATTTATCTAATCAAGAAAGAATTCAATTTGTTTTTACAAAATTACCCTTATGTACATATCCCTAAAAAGTTTTCTTACTCCTCACATTAAATACTTAATTAAGGGTTGTTCAGTCATGCTATGTATTTTTGAATAGAATTTAGTATTTTCTTAATAGGCCACTACTAGAAAAACACTAATTTGCAACCGAGATTTGTGACTGACATTGAAGTAGTCGCTAATGCGACTACAGTAGTGGAAAAAAGATTGCATTTTTATTGCTTTTAAAAAAAAAAGGAAATTCGACTAGTATTGTGACAAAATTAGTGGAAAAACAGCGCGGGAAATCTCCCGCTTTTAGCTTTGCGACTAATTCAGTCGGAATATAAAAAGTCAATAATACTTGACCAATTAGGCGACTATATCAATCGCAAAATAAAAATTAAAAAGATAAAAAGAATTAATATTTTATTGTGGATCGGAGTATAATGACAACGTAGTGCCTAACAGAGAAATGGGCACAGGCACACTGTTTTGAAGTACAAGTTACATGCAAATGACACTATATATGAATAGCGTGTGGGTCTTGTTCTATTTCTCATTTCTCATTATATTCAAAATTCTATCATATTTATGTGGATTTTAATCTACTTGTCCTTACATGGACTAATAGTTTCGAGCCCTACACCCCCCAATTGAAGATATTGAACCATTAATGGGACCTGGATTTAGAAATTAACAATACAGTCGGACCTCTTTATAGCAACATTCTTATATAACAGATTCATTATAAAAATTAAGTTTTTTTCGGAACCAATTTTTATATTATGTTAAAATATATGTTCTCTATAACAGCACTTCACTATAACAGCCAAAAAATATCGGAACAAACGAGGTTGTTGTAGAGAGGTTTGACTGTATATTTGACTCGTTCGTTTGAGTAGTAGTCGGGTGTGTATAATGGATCTACGATTTTGGATTGTGACACTTCTAATCACATCAGGACTAAGGATCACTCTCTATTTAATATGCTCTACGTGACGCGAATCAAAATTAGTCGGGCTAATGAACTTTAAAAATCAAGTTATTATATATGTAAAAAAGAAAAATTAGTTATAGGTTAAATTCTTCTCCCAATAAATTTTTTTCTACCGTAAATATCCCTACGTGGTGTAGTCCAGATATGAGTGACTCTTTATCTTTGAGGACAACGACAGAATAATATCTACGAATAACCTCAAAAAGGTGAAGACAAAAAAGGAGTTAATATTAGTCTTTTTTAATACAAAATGACAAAAAAGATTACTCATTTTGGTCTAGGTAATAGTGTTAGGGGTCGTTTGGTCGGAAAATAAGTTATCCCATGATTAATTATACCGAGATCAGTGGCGAAGTCAGAAATATTTCTAAGGGTGTTCAGATCGACTTGAAAGAACTAAAAAATAATTCCCGACAAAGGGTGTTCAATATATATTTTATACATCTAAAATCAACATTTTACTTATGTACACAGTGTAATTTTTCGTAATATTTCGATGAAGAGTGGTCAACTGTAAAAGGTGGCTTTGCCCCTGCCCGAGATTAGTTATCCCACCCTCCCTTAGGAATAAAAAAATACTACAATCCCGGGATAACGAATCCCAGGATTAGTTATAACATAATTTATCCCAACCAAATGTGGTATAAACTCATCTCAAATTTAATCTCGAAATTAATTATCCCTATTCCCTCGTACCAAGCGAATCATTAATATCTTAGTGGAATATACTAAGCATTTGCAAATTGCAAGTGACAACTAATAAACAAGGCCCACCTATATAGGATATTCCATATAAGAATACCTTTTCAATTTCAGTTTTAAGCGTACTTTTCGTATATGTTAACAAAAAAATTTCTTAAAATACATGTTTAGTCAAATTTCATCATATAAAATAAAATGGATAATGTTATTTTTTATTATACGTATAGGTGATGAGAAAAGCAAACTTAATCCAATTTTAGCATATATCATGGGTATGCAAATTCCAATAGCAGGCAAGTTTTTTAAGTTCCACTTCTCATCACCAAATATGGTGGTAATATATTGAATATAAAGGGTGGTGAATATAAAATTCACGACTTAAATCTGGTTGTTTGAATTATGGACAATGTCGTAAAACCTATGGCCAGGTAACAATGGCTAGTTGTTGTATATATATAGTTAAATATTAGAGTGGATGCATATGATTGAGGAAATAAAATATTTTACTTACTGTTATCATCATTGAGCAATATAGAATACGAAAAGAATATAATTAAAAAACATAAAAAGACATAATTAAATATTATATTGCAGTGGTCCAAAATAAAAAAAGTAAACATTTGGATACTCATGATTCAAGCACTTGCCTCCCTTTGGTGAACCCTTTTGCTTAAGTATCTTTTAAGATTCAGACACTCAGTTATCATTAAACAATTTACTTTTTTTGTTCTAAGTTCTTGCACTCTTTTATAATTTAGACCAAAAACAGAAAAGACAACAGTTTTTTTTTCTCTATGAGTTGTTCAGATGCATTAGATCCTTTTATATCCCATCCGTATGGGTCAAAATTTATCTCTCGAATGCTTAAGTCATGTTAGCATTAGTGAGACATTTACAGGCCGCCATGTGTCGAAGTGGTTCAAGGAACAATGAAGGCTGCGGTCGAAGGGTTAGCAAGGATTAAGGTCGAGGAGTCATCAAAGATCGAGGTCGAGGCCGAACACCCTTGATAGAGTTATAACGGATAGTTTCAAAATAGGACATTAAAGAGAATATTCTAGTGGATATTCTCTACACTTGTACTATTAGGGTTTCTAGGAATATGTTCCATATAAATAAAAAGAGACACGACGATAGGGGTTGAGATTCATTTGTAAGTAACACATTGACTTTATAAGAGAAAATCTGATCTTATCACAAATATACAAAAGCAACCTTTTTACCAAGAATCTTGTCTAGCATTTCCACCAGATCCAAAAACGACCCAAGTCTTCAAAGGCTTATCAATCATTCATCATTGTCAAAAGGAACAATCATTGATCTCATCCCTTTTCAAGTGACTCACACGTTTTATTTACCTAAATATCATTTATTACTTTATTATTATTATTATTTAATACCATATTCCATTTTTGGATCATTGAATGTTACCATCATTGCTCACATTCACTACCATCCAGATAGATTATATTAGTTCTTTGGTCTTGACACACGTACTATATCTTTTGGATATTATTTTTAACTAAGATTAACTCTTCTTTATACAAACTTAATTGATTGAGCCAAAATCAATAATTTTTGGTCAAACAGTTTGGCGCCGTCTGTGGGGACTTTTTAGTTAATTTTTTAGTTTTCTTTATATCTATAGGTAACGTGAGTCACTAACCTCATAAACCCTAAGATTTTCTCCTTTCTTTGCACTTACAAATACCTACATGGCAGGTAACCAAGGAGAAAGAACTAAAGTAACAGGTGATTTCCCTAGCAACCTCATGAATGCTATCAACGAGAGTTGTGAAACACTAGGCGAGGACATGACGCCCACTGCCTTCCCTAGGCGCGAGAGATCGCCTCCTCGCCATTGTATTATATTATAACAAAACCCAATGGAAAAGGGGCCTCCAAGTCCACAAAAGAAGGGGCACCACCGGCCGTGAAAAAGCTCCTCGAAGCATGGCTGACCGATATGCTAGTAAGCGTGCTCAACAAGCCCACTCCATGCACAACTACAGAGACCGCAAGAGCCTGCGCAGTCCAACGAGCAGACGAACAGAGCAAACTAAACCCTCTGACACCAGGTATAATTCACAGTATTACGAACAGTGTAGGTGATAATGCCTTCGCCGCTGTTCTAAAGAGGATAGAGGAAATGGAGAATGAAAATAAAGCACCCAGGGACCAAATGAAAGAACACCAAGAACGAGCCGACAAGATATCGTGCACTCCTAAACTATTGCCAAAGAGGGATGCCGACAGTTTTGAAGAAATGTCGTACAGCAAAGAAGCAGCCCCGCATGCCATACCAAAGACCTTCAAAATGCCACCCTACCTCAGGATATACGACGGGACGAACGATCCCGAAGATCATGTGACTCATTACGTCACCTCTGTGAAAGGAAATGACCTCACCAAGGAACTAGTGTCCTCTATTTTGCTAAAGAAGTTTGGCGAGACCCTTACAGGAGGGGCATTAACATGGTACTCACAACTACCAGCCCGCTCCATCGAAACTTTCGAGGAAATGGCTGATAAGGTCGTAGTGGCACTTGCCGGAGCCAAGAAGGCCGAAACAAGGGTAAACGATATATTTGCCATCAAGCAATCCTTGGTAGAAGGACTGAGGGACTTACTCGCCCGATTCAATAGGGTAAGGATGACTCTTCCGAACGTGTCCGAGGGGATGGCGGCCGGCCTTTCAGAACGGGTTGAGTAAAGTTGGTTCGAGAGCAACTAGGAAACTGTTGAGCCAATTGATGAAATATCCTCCAACCACTTGGGACGAGAGACACCCGGTTTCACGACCCAATAGGGTACGATACCAGCCATATGTTAGGGCCCACACCCCACCTTCCATCCGCTACGAAGAAGTCCCATCTAGGCCGAGGATAGGGACTCACCGGAACGAGAGAGGTATGCCCCCTTATTATCTGCTCACAATTTTTGCGTATCACCTACAGAAATAGTCTATGCTCTGGAGAAACTCGGAATGAAGGTAAAGTTTCCCCCAAAGATGAGGTCCAATCCGAGCACCACAAAATCCGACGCCCTCCATGAGTTCATCTAGGAACGTGGGCACAAAACAGAAGATTGCATCGCCCTCAGGCAAGAAGTTGTAAACATGTTGCGGCAAGGACACCTCAAAGAGTTTCTAAGCGACAAAGGGAGAAATAACTTCGTTAGAGGACGTGAACACCAATGTCCGCCAAAGCTACCATCACCAGCTCGTACTATCAACACGATCAACGGCGGCAGCGATGACACCTCTATCAACAGCGTTAAATTCACCACCACTCAAAAACTCAAGCGATCTATCACACACGAACAGTATGACGGACTCGAAGAAAGTATCATCTTCGATGAGTCAGATGCTGATGATTTGACTTTCCCTCATAATGATGCCCTTGTCATTACTTTATGCATTTTAGATACTGATGTCAAATGTATCATGATGGACGATGGAAGTGGAGCATGCATTATCCATCCCCGAGTCCTCATCCAAATGAGACTCAAGGACAAGATAGTGTCACACTGTGTCACACTAATCGGTTTTAATAATGCAGTTAAACAGACATCGGGAGAATATACACTCCCTGTCTTGGCCGGTGGCGTGACGCTGGAGGCGATATTCCACATCATGGACCAGACTACCACGTATAATGCCATAGTAGGACAGCCATGGATACATCCCATGAAAGCCACCCCCTCCAGCCTATACCTAGTAATCAAATTCCAAACACCTTGGCAGATATTCAGCATAAGCGGAGAATAGCATATATCATGGGAGTGCTACCGCATTGCCTTGGACAACACAAAAACCCAACAAAAAAAAGACAAGAAAAAATAGGCAAAACAATCAGCAGGGCCGAGGTCGACATTGGAAGAGACCAGGGATGTCATCATGGATCCTGAAATGGTTGAGGGTGCATATTCGACCATAGAAGACCTCGACCCCATTCAATTAGACCCCAATGACTGTAGCAAAAAGGCATACATCGGCTGCAAACTCCGAGAACCAGGTAAATTCAGACAATTCTTAATAACTAATGCAAATTTATTTGCCTTCAGCCATGCAGACATCGGCCATGCCCAGGGAGATCGCCATACACAAATTAAACGTCGACCCGTTCTACCCCTAGTAAGGCAGTTCAAGCCTAAATTCAACCCTGCCATCATCGATACCGTCCACAAGGAGGTGGAGAAACTATTAGAAAATGGTTCCATCGATGAGTCGAAGTACCCCAAATGGATCGCCAACATAGTGATGGTCAAAAGAAAAATGGGAAACGGCGGATATGCATGGATTTCACGGACTTGAACAAAACATGTCCAAAGGATTCATTCCCATTATCACATATCGACAAACTTATCGTCCCAATAGCAGGGCACGAGTTATTGAGTTTCTTGGACGCGTACTCCGGCTATAACCAGATACTTATGGAAGAAGAGGACCAGGAGGAAATCACGTTCATCTCCCACCAAGGAACGTATTGTTATAGGGTCACTGAAGAACGCAGGGGCTACATATCAAAGGTTGTTCATGAATATGTTCAAAGATCAACTTGGAAAAACCATGGAAGTATATATCGATGACATGCTGATCATGTCCGTAAGAGCATAGGACCATATCGATCATTTGAAGGAAGCTTTCAACATACTGAGGCAGTACGAAATGAAACTAAACTCAGAGAAATACGCATTTTGCATAGCCTCTGGGAAGTTCTTGGGCTTCTTAGTATCACAACGGGGAATCGAGGTCAACCTAGACCAAATTAAAGCCATCGAAGGGATACCGGATCTCCTGACTACCAAGAAGCAAGTCCAAAGGTTGACTGGTCGAATCGTCACTTTATCGAGGTTCATCTCACGGTCATCCGATAGATGTCACAAATTTTTCGGTGTGCTCAAAAAGGACAACGGCCTCGAGTGGACACCCGAGTGCATACAAGCTTTGCAATAACTAAAGGCATATCTGGCATCGCCACCCCTGCTTTCAAAGCCCGAACCCGAGGAACGTCTTCTTCTCTACCTGGTCGTCTCCAAAGTAGCAGTAAACGCAATCTTGATCCAAGAAAACAAAGGTATGCAATCTCCCATCTATTACATTAGAAAAACACTCGTCGGCGCCGAGACGAGGTACCCGCACCTCGAGAAACTAGTGTTGGAACTAGTCATAGCTTCACGGAAGCTTATACCTTATTTCTAGTGCCACCTTATCTAGTTTGTTTCCACCTTCCACCTGAGAGGCATTTTGCATAAACCTGAGCTATCGGGGAGGCTGGCTAAGTGGGCCATCGAGCTAAGCGAGCACGATATCACATATCAGCCACGAACAACAATAGAGTCGCAAGTGATCGCAGACTTCAGCGCAAAGATAATGCCTGAAGTCGAGAAAGAAGCCGCCCAACTCTCTCTCCAAACACAAGATCTCTGGGTCCTATATACCGTTGATGCATCCAACGCTTTCAGATCTGGACTGGGACTCGTGCTCGAGGTCCCTACAGGCGAAGTAATTCACCATTCCATATGATGCCCAGATATAACTAACAACGAGGCCGAGTATGAGTCTACAATTGTAGGATTGAGGCTAGCACTCAAATATGGGGCAAAGCGGTTGAAACTCCGCGGTGATTCCCAACTCGTGGTCAACCAAGTTACAAGGACTTTCCAAATCAAAGAAAAAAGATTGCAAGATTATTAGACTGAGATCTATAAGCTGCTGCCCGAGTTCCAGCTCGACCGGATCCTGCGGGCGTAGAATGCTGAAACAAACGGCCTCACCAAATTGGCTGGAGCTACCAAAAGCAATCACGACTGGAGATAAAAGTGTAGTCCACCTCCTTAACTCATCGCTAGACCAAATCTAGGTAAGATCTGTAAGCTTAACTTTTGATTGACGCAATCGTATTATCGCCTACTTGCAGGATGACACACTCTCAAACAACAAAAAAGCCAAGAAACTAATAATGCAAGCAACAAATACAGTCTCCTCCATAGCGACCTGTACAAGAGGACTTAAGGCGACCCTCTGGCAAAATGCTTAGGCCCAAACCAGACCAGCGCATCCTCGAAGAAGTCCATGAAGGCCATTGTGGTGCTCACTCCTGCAATCGAGCACTCATCAGATGCCTCATACAGGCAGGAAACTATTAGCCCACCATGATAAAGGATGCCTCATAATTTATGAAGAGATGAGAACAATGCCAGAAGTATGCCCCAATGATTCACCAAGCAGGCGAACACCTCCACTCAGTCACCTCTCCGTGGCCGTTCATCAAATGGGGAATGGACATCATGGGCCCTCTCCCAACAGGGCGAGGTAATGTACTATTCCTTTTGGTTTTAATTGACTATTTCTCCAACTGTGTGGAAGGAGGAGCGTTCGACCAAATACGCGAACAAGAGGTAATTACCTTCATATGGAGAAACATCAACTGTCGATTCGGCCTACCCAAGGAGATCAGCTGCGACAACGAACCCTAGGGCTACTTATCGGGCGGATTGGGCGGTTATTTACTCTTAACGGTTTGGCTTATCGGTTATCGGCTTTTAAATGTATTAATCCGCTAGCCACCCGATAAGATATCAGGCGGATTGGTATCGGTTTAGCTCTTATCGAGCGATTATCGGGCATTTTATAGGCCTATTCAATCTATATTCAATCAGAATTACTAGAAAATATGCACCTACAAACGGAGTACTAATTCAGAATCCATATGGGATAGCTCCCTTACAAATTGAAAACTCACTTAGTTCTTGTTTACGACTAAGATTTCAGGCGCATCACCTTTCATCAGGTGTCCGTAATATTCATTGTTCATGCCTGAAAAAGACATCTCTACGCCCTCACCTATATCGTATAACTGATGCATTGGCTAACTTATCTTGTCCAGTTCAGTGTTGTTGCATCCTTTATGCATTATGCCAGAGAAAGACTTATTTATAATGTAATACTACTTTATCTGTATGAGTATTCCAAAACATTTTTATGCTTGAATTTGATTCTAAACTTTCTGCCTTTTGTAAAGTAATTAACAAGGATTATGTTACATATTTTTCATAATTTTGATTATTTAGCAATTAGGCGTTAGAACTTAGAGATAGAGTACTGGAAGAGTGGAAAACTGAAGTGGAAGGGTTTTTGATATTTAATATATATATATATCATATATATATATATATATATATATATATTCTTAACGGGTTAACGGATTATCCGTTAAGAAAAATGAATAATCCGCCCCCAAACCGTTAAGCCGTTGATGAAAAAATTTCAATTCGTTAAACTGTTAACCCGATACCAATAAGCCATTAAGCTTCGGTTTCGGTTCGGTTTTCGGTTTCTGTTCGGTTTTGAACACCCCTAATGAACCCCAACTCACGGGAAAGAAAACCGCCAAATTCTTCAAGAAATAGCATATTAAGAGAATACTCTCAACCCCGTATCACCCGGCGGGTAACGGGCAGGCAGAATCCTCCAACTAGTACATATTAAACATCATGAGGAAAAAGCTCAAAGACGCCAAGGGACTGTGGCCGGAAATACTGCCAGAAGTATTATGGGCATATAGAACTACTCCGAAGACGAGCATAGGAGAGACACCCTACTGTTTGTTCTATGGGACCGAGGCAGTTATACCATTCAAAGTCGGAGAGCCCAACCTAATATACTCCCACGAAAGCGGTACTAGTAATGATGAGAGTAGAAGGCAGGAACTCGATAAAATCGATGAATGAACAGATTTGACGTACATAAGGATGGTCGCCTAAAAGCAACAAACAGAATGTTATTACAACCAGAAAGCAAAAGTTCGGCCGCTCAAAGTCGAGGACTACATACTCAAAGCCAAAACTCAAGTAAGCAAAGACCCACGGGAAGGCAAGCTGGGAACAAACTGGGACAGCCTGTAAAAAATTATAGCCAAAGCGAACAAGGGTTCATTCCAATTAGAGACGAAGGAAAGAAACTACCGAACAATTGGAACATCAGCCACCTCAAATACTTCAACTTCTAAGGGAAGAAGTGTCCCCAAGTCGTGCTCTCTTTTCTTACTTGAGTTTTGTTCCATTAGGATTTTCTCAAGGAGGTTTTAAACGAGGCGACAATGAGAACACTTCGGGTCGAAGTATGCGATGGAGGGACTTGTTTTTCTCTTTCATTCCCTAATTCCTCAATACCCTCCAAGTCAAAAAATGAAGGGACTAGATAGATTAGGACTTGGGACTGGAATGCCAGCCAATGCCCAGAAAATTTGTAACTCTCTCCAATCATGTAATCGGAGCAACAACATCAAAGTAATAAGAAACTTACGTTCATCATAAACACTTATAAGATAAGGTTATGTTCGACCCCTCTTGAACAACACCTATTGGCCCTCGGCCACGACTAACAAAAGGTTATGTTCGATCCCGCTCGAACAACACCTATCTTCCCTCGGCCATGACTAAGAAAAGGTTATGTTCGACCCCACTCTAACAACACTTATCGGCCCTCGGTCACGAATAAGATAAGGTCATGTTCAACTACACTCGAACAACACCTATCGACCCTCGACCACGACTAAAGGTTATGTTCGACCTTTCTCGAACAACACGTATCGGCCCTCGGCCGCGATTAACAAAAGGTAATGTTCAACCCCGCTCAAATAATACCTATCGGCCCTGGGCCACGATTAACATAAGGTTATGCTCGACCAAATTCAAACAACGCCTACCGGCCCTTGCTCGAGATTAATAAAAGGATAAGTTTGACCAAGTGCGAACAACACCTAC